CATCAATCAACTATAAGCGGGGTGACATTTAGTATTAGGTGTAGTAATCACAGGGTGGCCATTGATTGAATGTAATTTCTTTAATAGCACAACCCTGGCAAGTCAACATAATTATTTATAGAACAGCTCTAGCCAACTGTGTTTTTTGTAGTTATTTTAATTTAGTTTTAGTGGAAGGTTAGAAACTTTGTCCTATTAATATTGATGGTTTGTGTAGTCATTGGAGATATTTACCCTCATTTCCTGCACTGTCACTCAGACTGGAAGTGGGCAAAATCACTTCAATGGGGACACAGGCAATATCAAAACATTTTCAAGTGGAGTGTCTAAAGGTTATATTTGGGAGGTTCTTCCAACTTAATGGGGTTGATTTACTAAAGGCAAATAGGCCGCCTTCAGTATATTAAAACATTTTCAAAAGCAGAGTGTTTAAGGGTTATGTTGGGGAGGTTATTCTCACTTAATGGGGTTGATGGGGCAAATAGGTTGTTCACTTCGCAAAGAGAATTTGAAGTTTCCCCTTAGTTTTGTGAATGAGGATAAAAGGATCTTTAGACTAAAATTTTCTGCTTTATTAGTTACAAGTCACAGTGATTTCAGGGGTCTAAAATGCATTCTTCATCATGGTTAGAAACACTAAGGAAATTTTTTTTAAAAAGAGATGGTGCTCTGAAATGCAGGTGTCACAATTATGGGAACTGGAGCACCAGGAATAGTAAACCCTGGGTCTTGTGGAGCAGTATATTGTGACAAAGTTGGCAATGGGCAGGGATAGGTCTCTGAAATGCAGCTATCACAATTATGGGAACTGGAGCACCAGGAATAGTAAACCCTGGGTCTTGTGGAGCAGTATATTGTGACAAAGTTGGCAATGGGCAGGGATAGGTCTCTGAAATGCAGCTATCACAATTATGGGAACTGGAGCACCAGGAATAGTAAACCCTGGGTCTTGTGGAGCAGTATATTGTGACAAAGTTGGGAATGTGCAGGGATAGGTCTCTGAAGATGCAGGGACCGTGTGAATGCACAACAGACACAGGTGTGCCAGAGTTGCAGGATCTAAGGAGCTGCCTGGTCTTCACCAGAGCCACTGATGGTGTGGATGTTGAGCTGCGGTGCAGCTCCTAGGTTGCGGCTCTCTGACACACCCGTGCAGGCACAGTGCCGGCGGGTACTCAGGGACCACAGCACACTGGACAAGACACAGGGAGCAACCAGGATACAAGGTACAAAAGAGGACTTAAATGGAAGATGCAGGGAACATGCGTGACACAGGGAGCAGGTAACAGAATGGAACCCACAACAGGCAACATTAAAGCACAGGAAGAAGGAGGTAGGTGCACTATAGTGCAGAGCAATATACCCACAGGAAGCAAGAAAAGGAGGCAAACCACAAACAGAGGTATCCGGGATACACTGAAGAGTGAGGCTGCGAGGAACAAGCAGCCACACAAGGGAACAGGCACATGTAAGGGCAAGTGCAGGGGGTCACATAGGGGAGGATAGCCATCCACAGCAGAACAGCAGGATCGCACAGAGAATCACAGCACAAATTGGAAACGTGAATAGGCCAGAGACTAGGGCAAAGATATCAGCACAGGGGAAGGTGCTAAGTACAGGCACACAGAAGAAAGTACAGAGATGGCGGGGGAAAGCATACAAACAAGGTAGGATACCAGCACACAGGAACTACAACACATGGGTACACAAGAACCAAGCAAAGGGGGAATAGCCAACAAGGAGATCATGAGCAAATGGGAAATTTCAAGACAGAGAGATCACGAGTGAAGGGGGAAAAGCCCACCGGGAAGTCACAAGCAAACGGGGAAATGCCAACAGGGAGGTCACGAGCAAAGGGGGAAATGTCAACAGTGACATCTCAGACACAGGAGAATCCGCACAAAACAGGGATCCAAAAGGGGAAAACTAGCACAGGAGCTCACGGGAAACACCAGGGGTCCGACACAAGAAAGAAAACTTGTTGCTCTAACGAAAAGCAACAAGTGAGAGAGTGCTAAGTAGGGGAAGAGGTGCGCAAATTGTCTGCAGCCCTGTGGAATCACATAGGCTGACAGCCAAGCACCAGGGATCCACATGAAAATCTGGCATGGATTGCCGGACATTGTGACAGCAGGTATATCTACCACTACCGTGTTTCCCCGAAAGTAAGACCTACCCAGAAAGTAAGACCTAGACGACATAAGACATCCCCCGAAAATAAGACCTAGTGTCTTTTTTCGTGGAAAAAAAAATATAAGACACTGTTTTATTTTCGGGGAAACATGGTAATAGAAGTGCATTAAAGGTAGGTCCTACTAGTCAGTTGAAAGTATTGTGTAAGCAGATAGGTGAACAAGGTGTAAATAGGGAGAAAGGGGGTCCTGGCAGATTACTGGAGAGCGTTATGTGAACAGATAGTTGGGGGAGTTGGAGGTGTATTGAAGGTATATAACACCAGCTCACTGGAGAGCATTGGGGTCAGCTGACTTGTGCTGCAGTGAAGAAAATGAGTTTTGTTGATGTTTTTTTAATTTGGTGAGAAGCCAATTTTGTGTTAAGATTTTTGCTTTGCTGAAAATAATTTGTTTATCTTGAATAAGAACAATGAAAAGCACAGATATCCTATAGCCTGCATATTTGTTGTATGTTGCATTTTTGTATCTTTAAAATTTGGAGCTCTACTGAGCTTCTTTCAGTGGCCAGTAAGGGCACTCTTACCGTACAGTAGAATATCAGTTGCCAAAACTTTGCCAAGAAGTCAGGCCTATTAAATGTAAATAAAAATAAGTGAAACTTAATCGAAAAAAGGTGGACAGAATAGATTTTTCTGGCTAATGAAGGCACTTGCTGTCTGCTTCAACGTTACAGCGGTAAACAAAGTTTACTTTAAAGCTGTTCTATCCTATTTCTGTACAGTTAAGATAACTGAGTGCAGAATTCCTTGGTGGATTTTGTGCAATGAAGATAAAAGCTAAATAAAGAATATAATCTGCAGCTGTAAATATATGGGTAACTGCAGCTGTGAGTAACTCAGAGTGCAGCTGTTAAAGGTCTGTTGAGCTGTAGTTAAATCACAGAAATATCAAACATTAGCAAATAGGTATGTTTTAATGTCATTGCTAGTGGATAGCATTACAGACAAAACTAAAAGTCACAGATATATTCAGATTCAAAGAAAGCCAAACGGCAAATTGCTTTTTATTTCTTTAGTTAAACTACACTGCTGAATTTAAATCAAAAGTACGTTCTGCTGTAAAATTTAAAGATGCATTACTTAACACGGGCCCTGTGGAGTAATTCATCTTCAAATTTTACAGCTACAGGCCGGGCTGGATTTCCCACAAGGCCAACCCAGGCCCAGGCCTCGGGGCAGCAGTGAGTAGAGGGGCAGCAGGGGTCTGGAATTCCTATCTCCCGACGCCTGGAACTTGCAGTTCTGGGCGCCGAGCGGGTAGTTGTTTTCTATATTTAGCCCTGTTTCGGGCAAGCAGAGCTAAATGTTCAGCGGGGAAGCCGCCTCTTGTTTTGTACAAGTGATATCGGCAATGTAACTGAGATCATTTGTATGCAGCCTGCAGGTCTACCATTCTCCATTGGGGTTTGGCGGGTAGAGGAGCACATTGAGGAACCTGGCCTTGGGGCAGCAGAGAGTAAATCTGGCCCTGGCTACAGGCATAAGTGAGAAATTGTTTTAAAAGCCATTTACTGCTTGTTAAGAATATGTAGATCCACCGCCTGGATTATGGATAATGAGAAAGTTCTGGGCATCACAAAGACTACGGTTCTTCTTCATTGATCTGTTTATGTATCAGTTTGGCTCTGTCTACCTATTATATTTCTGTACTTAGCAAAAGTTGGGAGCCTTTTGATTAATTTGTTCACCTTTGCTCAGATTGATCAGTTAAAGTGAGTGAAAAGTACAAATGGCTGTAAACTGCCTGATATACAGTATAGCTTTTTTGTTTTAATTATCTAGAGCAGGAGTGCCCATTAGGTAGATCATGATCTACCAGTAGCTCTCAAAGCTGATGCTGGTAGATCACGAAGGGTGTGAATGGTGACCCCCTTTATTCCATTTTGGTATATTTATTTAGCTGTGCACACATGATTACTTATTAGCCTGAGTCTGCTGAGCCAAGCTCCCTGACACCTTTCTGGTGGATACTGGTGGTTGAAGTGCTATGTATTACATCAAAGAATATTAGTTTACACAGCCTGTTGGACTACACTGTTTGAAAAATACAGCAAGGTGAGCCAGGAGAGAGAGCGGGGAGAGACAGACAGGAGAGAGAGAGGAAAGACAGCTAGGGGAGAGAGAGCAGGGAGAGACAGCCAGGAAAGAGAGAGAGGAGAGACAGCCAGGGGAGAGAGCAAGGAGAGACAGCCAAGAGAGCGAAGAGAGACAGCCAGAAGAGAAAATGAGGAATGACAGCCAGGAGAGCGAGGAGAGACAGCCAGGAGAGAGAGCGAGGAGACACAGCCAGAAGAGAGAGCAAGGAGAGACAGCCAGGAGAGCGAGGAGAGAAAGCCAGGAGAGAGAGAGAGAGCGAGGGAGGTTTTTTTTCGTTGGTAGATCTCATGTAACTCGTCTTTTGAAAAGTAGATCTCAACACAAAAAATTGTAGGCACCCCTGATCTAGAGGGTTAACAGGGCACTGGATAAATCTACAGGTAAACTAGAGAAAGAGTCTTTTTTACATTTGCGCATTGAACCAATGTACTTTTCAAACATTCAATCAAGGAAATTATAAATGAAAAAAATAAATCCATTATGCTTACTGGGAATTTGAAATGTATACAGGTTTGCTGACTTAGAGTTAAAATTATAGCTTCGGTAAATTATAATGTCTTGATTACTTAAAACACCTAGAAAATTGCATTTATATGGTACATAAAATCCCCAACTGAAAAAATAATGGGAGGCCTGTCACTTCAATGAGTGAATTACCACAGGAAAATTGATACCTTTGCACATGACCTATTGACATTGTGTCTTGCAGGTTTGCATTGTCCAGAAGCGAGACTCAAAGAAGATGTATGCCATGAAATACATGAACAAACAGAAATGTGTTGAAAGGGATGAAGTGAGAAATGTTTTCAGAGAACTACAGATAATGCAGTGCCTTGAACATCCCTTTCTGGTAAATTTATGGTATGTTAAGATTTTTTTTTAAATTAACAATTACACTCTCTGCTGTCCAACCCTCTTCCTACAAACCTCTAACATCAATTTCCCATACTTGTGTGACTTCTGAATTGCTCTGACACTGGGTGTCAGAATATTCATCACATACTAATGTTTATTGAAGACAAGCTAGTGAAGGGTCTTTGGGGCCACAGACATGAATGCAATACATATAATTCCAACTCGATTCCATACTTCCTTAAAGTAGACCTGACAACAGATATATTTTTCATGTTAAAGGAGAGCTATGAGGTGAGTGATTTTCACTCAACCTCATAGTTCGACCCAATATGTGACAATGAAACTGTCGCAGGTCGGCTCAATAGATTAGGAAGTGAGCGGAGACACATACCATCGCTCGCTCCCTTCTCGATCATCTCCCTGCATTCACGGCTCCCTGCAGGGATTCTCCCCTCCCAGCTCCGATCCTCCAGAGCTGAGAGCTCTGGAGGATCGGCAGAGCCAGCTGTCACTCTGCCACTGCTGGGTGGATCTCGAAAGCATTGTTGGGATCCGTCCCGTGTGCGGTCTCAGTATACCGCGAGTTGTAGCTCGCAATATACTGAGCTTTGGGTCACGGGAGGACGCTAGTATATGTCCTCCCGTGACCCTTAGGAGAACTATGGGGAAAAACACTGACCTTATAGTTCTCCTTTAAGTGCATACATACTAAATCTTGGTATACACAGTTAAAATTTCATACAAACACTGGTACAAAAAATCTTGTCAGCACATTTGCCATCGGAGACTTGACGAACATCATTCCAAATTATATTTGTTTTTAAAATTCTACTTTGGAAATGAATTGAGTTTCCTGAATGAAAACCACATTCACTCTTACAATTTTGTTCTGTAAAGACAAAATGTCCATGCTGCTCCTTCAATTTTTTTCTGCTACTATTGATGAAATCGATCATCAATTTGACCCCAATAACTATTAGAAAATTGAATCAGGAAGCCAGGCGGTGGGTTATGACCCACCTCTCGGCTTCCTAATTGGCTAGGAAGCTGGCTACACATGTTGCTAAGCAGCCTGGCCTCCTAACCAATCAGGAAGCCAGGTGGCACGTAATGGCCCAACTCCTGGCTTCCTGATTAGTCAGGAAACCAGGCTGCCTAGGAACAATCAGGGGAAGTAGGTCATGACGTGCCACCCGGCTTCCTGATTGACTAGGAAGCCAGCTTCACTTGTTGGTAGGCACGAAGCCTGATGGCACATCATGACTCGCGTCCCGGCTTCCTGATTGGTCAGGAAGCCACGCTGCCTAGAAACAAGTAAAGCCAATCAGGAAGCCAGGAGGCGGGTCATGACATGCCGCCCAGCTTCCTGATTGGCTAGGAAGCTGGCTTCACTTGTTGCCAGGCAGCCTGGCTTCCTGAGTGCCTGTGAAGAGGCTGCCTGGCTTCCTGACCAATCAGGAGGCCGGGTGGCTAGTCATGAGGTGCCGTCCGGCTTCCTGATTGGTCAGGAAGCCAGGCTGCCTAGCAACAAGTGAAGCCAGCTTCCAGTGCTCAGTCTGACTGGGAGAATCTGGAGGAGACAGGCCTGTGTGTGGCACTGTGTGAATTAGGACTGCATGCAGCAGAGCTGTGTGATTCCCACTGACAGATTGGGACACACAGAATCTGTACAGCAGCGCTCTGAAGGACGGATGTTCATCTGCTGAACCAAAGAGACTGTGTTTGAGCGCCTGAACCGAGGCCTAGTCGCATGGCTGAACCAGCCGCCGGAGTGATCCAGCCAGCCCAGCAGAGAGAAAGGGAGCCAGACGGAGCCAATTGAGAGGACTGCAAACATCCTGGATAGGTGAGGACCTTTTGTCGGGGACCCAGATGACTTCCCTCTATGTCGCCTGAACTGAAGAGAGAGAGAGAGAGAGGGCGCCCCGTTCCTGCCAGCAGTCTTCATATCTTTCCAGCTGACCTGAGGATTGGTGAGAGGCCTTTGGCCACGTTGACAACCTGTTGCTGTTCATATCTGCACTACAGTAAAGGCCCCAACGCCGGCTAGCTTAGGACACCACTACTGGCCAGTAGTATAGGGAGGTTCGGACATTGTTAAAGGGAGACCTTAAAGGGACATACACCCCATTCGGGGGAAAGCCTTTAGAGACAATTGGCCTCACATACCTCAGTACTGACTGCAGATAGCTGCAGTTACTGGGTCGCAGAGTGCCTCAGCCTGTTGATACACATTATTGTTGGTGATTTCTGTCATTACTATTGTATCATAGTTGTTCATCTCTGATTTGTCAGTAACTCTGCTATAAAACTGTTCAAAGGTGTGTTGGTGTGCTGTGGAACCACGCTTTGGGCGTTACATTGGTGTAGGGGGATAGAAATATCCGGTTATTCAGCGGCTCCTTCGGGGGTGAGCGCTGCATACATATATGGAGAATGCTAGGACTAAGCTCTTATTTTTAAAATGCTAATTTACTGGCCATCATACTAATCCAATGTTGCCACTGACATGAAACAAGTATGCAAACCAGAAGTTCTGCCTGTTGCATGCTTGCCGTTGATTAGTGTCTATAATCAAGTAGCCAATCAGCTAGTATATTCAAAAGCAGTGGAGGCCTACAAATTTGTCTAAAAGCAGTTCCAAAGTCCCAGCATATGCTCTCCTGTTATAACATCAGCATTGTAATAGGAATACATACTAGAGTTGTTCTTATTTTTAATACAAAGCTTACTTGAAAAAATCCCTTTTATATAGCGAGTGCTGCCTTCCGTCTGCCCATCACTTTCAACAACTTCCTGGATTCCCATAGTGCTTTGCATCTCTTTCCCTGCTGCTTGATGTGACGTAATCTTGATTTCTCAAGACTACATATCCCATCATGCTTCGCTTCCAGCAAGTAATGAGAATGTTACATTGTTCAGAAACTCAAAAATTCAATATAGAAATTCGATATAGAAATACAGATTTATATTAGTTATTGACCATAGATATGATTTAATGCAATTTTTAAAAAACAAAAAGCTAATATGTTATAAAAGTGCAGTTATGTTTTAATAATAGAGTACAGTGTCTGTGTAAAGTAGAATGACTCCTAGTAACCTATAATATTTCATAGTGTAATTGGATCAGTTAAAGATCTAATTTAATTAGTTGCTGTAGGCCATTACTTCTCATCCAGTACTTCCAGTGAATACTGGTTTATGAGCTGCAAAAAAATCATTTGTAGACTTTGTAGTGAGTACAAAATATATGTGTTTATGGCCAATACAGATGTGTAAATAAGCTTTGCTTTGCAAAATTCTATTTCGTGTTTGTTTTTAGATTCTGCATGTTTGCAGAAAACCGTGTGATGAATGTAGAAATCGGATTCAATTCATGCAGAGACATGGAGGGTGCCCGTCTTGGATAAATTAAGCATTAAGCTGCACAAAGCACCCTGCCACTGTGACTTGTTTTTGGAAGAAAGGTTTTATTGTATAGTGTGTGAAAAATGGAAGTTCAACAGCATAATCCTCTTTTTAATTGTGTTACTGTTTCTGGCAGGAAATTATACTTTGTGCTTGCTGGATAACCTGGGGCTAGATGGGGACAAGAGGTAAAAAAAAAAAAAAATCAAGGTTTTCTTCAGAGAGAGCAGTCATGCTGAAAAGTATCTATATCACATTCAGTACAAATAAACCTTCGAATATGTCAGTATAAAAAGTAATTCTAGGAAGAGCACAGTTATAAAAATGGAGCAAAGGAATGTGCATGCTAATACTGGAATCTTTTATTCATGTGACATTATTATGCTCCTCAGTGCTTTACAACAGGATATAAAGTAGCATTATACTGTTAAGTATAAGAAACAATAGAAATACAAAATAATAACTATACTAAATATATCAAATATAAAAGAGATGGGAGCTCAAGCTTATAGTGACTTGGTGAGTTACTCCTGCAGGGCAAAGCAACAGTTTGACTCTAACTGTGTTATTCACAAAAGGGTGAAGAGTTTGGAGAAGGCAGGAATAGTGAACAATCTAGGACAACATAGCTGAACTGGAAAGGGAGCTGAATTGGAGAATTTTTCCAAATCAGCTATTTTGGTCTAGATTGTCCACTTATTTTGCCTTCTCCAAACTCCTTACCCTTTTGTGAATAACCCCGTAGATCTTTGCACCTAATACTTACCTTCCCTTTACTCCCCCACCGTCCATTCACTGCTGGGGAGGAAGAGAGCAAGCTCCATGTGATCTCCAGTTGGATCCCATTTTGACCTTACACAGGGATGATGACTCTCTACGCAGGCCTCTGCAACTTTTTTACCTAGAAGAGCTCCTCTAGGAGCCCACATAAGATGTCCAGAGCACCTCAACTGCTTTCATTCAGTTAAACGACTATCAAACATATTTTTCAGAAAATTCAAACTGGAAAGTGCCAGAATCAGAACAGGTAAAGTCTAGATTTATCCATAAAAATCCAATGCGTTTTGGGAGTTCAAAGGGTTGGACCACCCACCTAGCATTTGTATTAATCATACCTATACCACTCAGGATCCCTCCTATTGTACCAGTTTAGTAACCATCATTAAACACTGTCATGGTCAGATGAAGGGCTTTCTATGAACCCTCAAAATATGTTGGATTTTAATAAAACAAAATTGTAAATAAATTAAATGTCAATTCTGAATATTCATTCTGGTTCAGGCATTTTCCTCTTTTCAACTCTAGTCCTTACTTGAGTTAAAGCAGGCCTTTACCACTTTCATTAAAAATCACATCAGCATTCAGCTCAGCATTAGTGATGAGCCAAACACCCCCGTGTTCGGTTCTAACTCGAACTTTCGAACATGCAAAAAGTTCTAACTCGAACTTAGAACTCAATGCAAGTCTATGGGGGTAGAACTCGGAAAATTAAAGGTCCCCATTTTGAAGCCTTATATGCAATTTATTGGCCATAAAACATGCCGATGTGAAATCACCTTACTTTCATTAGTTAAAAAAACAATTCTGGTTTTTCCACT